TTTTGGAGATAGAAGCCCAGTGGAGGGGATTTGGGCAGAGAACGTGGATTTCCCCAGAACGTGATTGTAGACGGCTGGTGTGAGTTCGGGAATAAAGAGTTGCTGTTTGAATCTACAAGCTGTGTGGTGGCTCGTGATTGTGTGCCCAGCCAGACTGCGGCAGGGGTTTTGTGGTTGTTTTTAACAGATGGGGTTTTATTGCATTGCCCAGGCTGGCCTTGAACTCCTGGGTAAGCAACCCTCCTGCCTCAGCCTCCAGAGGAGCCGGGACTATAGGCCACACAGCACCAGCTTTTGTATTTCTTTCAATACTCTCAGCCTGGCTCTTCTCACCCTGGAACGCCGACCACATGAGTGTTGGGTCTTTTGTGACCCTTTCAACGGCCCCCCGAGGCTCTGCTCAGATTGGGCAAATTCTCTCTCTGTTCTCAAATTCCAACTTCTGTCATCTGTATTCTAAAACTGTGTTTGTTAATTTCTGTTATCAGATCTTTCGGTTCTAAAAATGCCCTCCAATTTAAATAACTATTTGTTAGCTGAGATGTTCATTTTTCCCACTTGTTTCTAGACAACCTGTAGTTGCCTGCTGAAGCATGCTGACGCTGCTCTAAAGTCCTGGCCAGTTCATTCCCATACCTGATTCACCCCAGTGTGGGCGTGGCTGGTGCTTGTCTTTCTCATTCAAGGGTGGCTTTCCTGGTTCCTGGGAGGACAGGTGAGTTTCATACTGTATCGGGACACTGGATCTGTTGCACCAGGGAGACTCTGGTCCCTTCCCTCTTCGCCCTTCGAGGGTTGCATGTTGGTCCTGTCACCACTGTCACTGTACTTCCCATGACAAGCTGATTTGGTGCTTGTTTGGTGTTTGGTTTATCTGGTGCTGTCTGCAGAAGCTGTCCCTGGCGAGGCCAGAAGGTGCCTGTGGGTGGGTGCACGGTGTCTCCTGCCTGCAGAGACAAAAAGACAAGGGGTCTCCAGCTGCCCTTGACCTCTGGCAGCTTTCAGTGGGGGAGGGGAGGCTCAGTCTGGGGGGCCAGGAGAGACCCCTCCTGGCCACTCTCTGCCAGTGGGTTGGGAGAGCTCGGTCCCCTCGCCGGGCTGCCAGCTAGCCAGGTGTGGTGGGTGGGACTCCCACTCAGCCCAAGGCAGGACAAGCCTACCTGTCTCGCTTTCTTTTGCTCTGTTAGGGGTCAGGAGACTCTGGGCCTTGGCAGAGGTCGTGAGACACTCTGCCACACCCTCATTCCCCCCTGAACTGCCCACTGTCCCTGGCCCCTCAGAGTCCTCTGGTCTTTGCAGGATTTCCGGAGTTTGTGGCTGGGCTCTGCAAGTCAGAGGAGTGGGGGCTACGCTTCTCCCCTGGACTGCAAGCCAGGTGGGCCTGAGTGTAGAAACCTGAGGGAAGGACCCGGTGGGGGCAGGTGAGGAGGCTGCCGGGAGGGACCCTGAGGCCAGCTGGGACTTGGTGGTCATCCACAGCCCTGCCACCAGTACTCGTGGCCCATGCCCTGAGCTGGTGGGGAGGGACTCCTCCTTCCATGTGATGGACAGAAGGAAGGGACCTGGGCATGGTACTGCCTGGGCAGGGGACAAGAAGACCTCCTAGTGTCTGACAGTGGATACTGACGAGGAATGAGAGGTGAGGGGCACCGGAGGCAGGGAGGCCTGAGAACACGGGGGAGCCAAGTGACAGAGTGAGTCCTGACCCCTGATGCCCCCACCCTGTGCCCTTGCAGACCTCTCCCTGGCTCAGCCTCGCCAGGAGCCTTGAGCCGGCACCACCCACCTGCCCGGCTGAGGCAAGACTCGCCAACCCCAGAGCCTTCTGCAGTTCAAGTCTTAAGAGCAGAGTCTCATAAGCAGGAGGGAAAAAGCAATTTCCCATCCAACACGTCAAAAGCTGCTCATCTAAAGCGCCCCAAAGAGACATCAGTAGGGAAGAAACCTGTGTGGAGGCTCCGGATGCTGTCGGGAGGGGAGCGCTGGCCCTGCCCTCTCGTCAGTCCCCTGGCGTAACAGCCTCCACTGTACGGGGAACGGGGGGTGGAAGTGAGGAGTGGTGGCCAGGCATCAGGGCCGCAGGGTCTCACAGGATGGGCATCAGGAGATGGAGACAGTGTCATAGCAGGGACCTCAAGCCCTTTCCAAGGTCAGTCTTGGCTGCCTGGTCACTCACAGCCCACCTGCCACCGTGTGCTCCACACCTCACCCCCCCACCTTGGGTCTTCCTGCTGGAACGTGACCTGAAATATGCCCTTCTCCCCATCTTGCCTATGAGTGGTGTGTGTGTGTGTGTGTGTGTGTGTGTGCATGGTCCATGTGTCCATGTGTCTGCAGCACTTGTGGACATTGTGATATCATGTTTAATTCCCTCTGAATGGGGAAGCTTGTGTGGGCTGGGGATGTAGCTCAGCCACAGAGCAAATGCTTAGCACCTGTGAGGCCCTGGGTTCAACACCCAGCACCATTACAAAAAGAAAAAAAAAATACAATAAACTTCACAAGAAACAGATAAATAACTCAATGTTAAAAAAAAAAAAAAGCAAAAAATCTAAACAAGTAATTCATAGAAAAGGAGATTCAGAGTCGATTGTACCTAAAACCTATGTAGGAACCGGGATGTGGCTCAGTGGTAGAGGGTTGCCTGGCCTAGCCTGCGCAAGCTCTGGGTTCAACCTGGCAACTCCCCAGGGGTACAATGTAACCCCAATAAAGCAACATGGTATAAGGGGAAAACAATGAGCACACTGGTCCTAGGGGTGAAACATGAAACAGTGTTTAGCCTCATTGATGGGAAAATGCAAATTAGGACCAGGGAGTGACCCTGTGCTGAGCCTTCAGGTTGCTGGCGATCAACAGCAGTCTTAGGCTGCAAGGAAGCCAGATGTGGGCTCAGGCGCCTCCCCACCTGTTCAACTGCAGGTTGCAGCCACTCTCTGGGAAGGACAGCTGGTGATTTCTACCAAGAAAATGATACCGTGAGCTCTAACCCAGTGGTCCCACTTTCAGGGACCTCCTCTATGAAACTAAAAACTGAAATGCATAAGAATAGATACAAAAGAATGTTGACTCAGCATTGCTTATGGAGGGCAAAACCAAAGCAAGACTAAAAGAAATGGGAAGCAATCAAGATGTGCACCTTTAGAGGAATGATCTATCAATCGCATTTTCACGGCGTGGCGACGTTGAGAAAGAATGAGTTAGATCTGTGTCGATCCACAAGGAAGGGGACGCCCATCGGATATTTGGTAAAGAGGGGAGAAGAACAGATGGAAGTGGTTGGCATGAGCCCCCTTTAAAATATGATCGAGTGATAATAATCCCCCCCGCCTCCCTCAGGCTCTGCAGCACGGACGTGCGAAATGTGTGGCCAAGTCCCAAACTGGCTGCGGAGCTCACTCAGCGGAGAGAAGGCCCCGCGGGAGGGGACGAACTTTCCCTTACTTATTGTGTCACTTGTTTCTCTTGCCGTTAACTTTGAAGGTCAGCTTAATATTATTATTATTGTGTAATTACTTTAAAAAGCCTGATCTGATGAGTTTGGACACACGTGCACCTGTCAAGCTCCCCCCTTTCAGCTCCTCCCTGCCTCCCCGCCCAGGCGTGTCCCCAGGTGACCACTGCTGTCTTCTGTCACCGCAAATTGCTCACCACGTCCTCTGTCCTGGTCTCGACTCATCCCTGCCGCTGGCTGCTATGGGGGCTTCCCTTTGTAACACGAGGAGAGTGGCGTCCAGTCGTGGGAAGCTGCGGTTTGTTGGCCCGTCCTCCTGGTGACACGGCTGTGCTTGGTTTGGGGCCATCACAAACCACGCGGCTGTGAACGCTGTTAGAGGGGTCGTGTTGGGACTTGAGCTTTCACTTAAGATACCGATGGGAAAATGCAAATTAGGACCAGGGAGTGACCCTGAGCTGAGCCTTCAGGTCAGCGGGACGGCTGGGTTATAGGAGAGAGCCAGTGTCCAACTTCCCCAAAGCATGTGCCTTCTCACCAGCAGTGTGAGAAGTCCAGATCCTCCCCTCTTCATCAAGCTCTTGATAGCCTCAGACGTACCTCGGACATTCTGACAGTGTGCAGTGGTATCTGATTATGATTTTAATTTGCATTTTCCTAGTGACTGATGATATTTATAATCTTTCCATGGGCTCGTTTGCCAGATGCATCTTTGGTGAAGTGCGTTCGAATCTTACGTCCAGTTATTTGGGGGCAAACAGGGGGGTTGTTTGCTTTCTTGTTGAGTTTTTTTTTTTTTAATTTACTTGTTTGGTTGTACCTAATACCTTTATTTTAATATTTATTTTTACGTGGTGCTGAGGATCGAACCCAGGGCCATGCATGTGCTAGGTGAGCCTCTACCGCTGAGCCACAACCCCAGCCCTCTTATTGAGGGTTTTTTTTTTTTTGGTAGGTCTGGGGATTGAACCCAGGGTCTTGTACGTGGGAGACAAACACTCTACCAACTGAGCTAAAACCTCAGCCCCCTCTTGTTGAGTTTTGAGACTTCTTTATACTCTTCACACAAAGCCTTTATTGGATATGCGATTTACAAACATTATTTCCTAGTTTGCGCCTTTCCATTCTCTAAATGCTCTTTCAGGGAGCAAGAGTTTTCTTTTTTTCTTTGGAAGGTCAGAACAGCTTGTTGAGCTGCATATACTTCACACGCCACACAGTTCAACCATTCAAGTGTGCCGCTCACTCAAAGATTCAGCCTATTTACAGATATGTGCACACATCGTGAGAGTCAGTGTTTCTTCCTTTATCACCTGCAAAGTAACCCCCCCAGCGGCTGTACCCCATTTCCTTGCACCCCATCTGAAGCCCTGGGCAACCACTAATGAAGCTTTGAATTTGGGTAACTCCAATCTATGAAGGGATTTTTTTTTCCTCTGTACTATTAAGTTTAATCACAATTAACCCGCTAACCTCCTTTATTAGCTCTAGCAAGGGTTTCTGGGTTTTGTTTTGTTTGCTTTTGGTGCTGAGGGTGGAGCGCCAGGAAGCCTGCAGGCAGAGGTCTGTGCGCCCCTGTTGCGCTCCCTCCTGAGCTGTGCTCAGCCCCAGCTGGGTGTTTTGGGTCATGAGCGTCAAAGGCGGCTCAAAGGTCAAAGGCGGCTTCCCTGTCCCCTCTCTAGTCTGGCTGCCTTTCTGTTCCTTGCTTCAGGAGCCAGAACCTCCAGCGTGGGACGCGGCAGGACTGGCCAGGGCAGACACAGCAGCTCCTGGTCACGCCTGATGGCTCTCGCCTTCCGGGTCACTGTGCCGTCACTGTCACTGCGTCACTGTGGGACTTTCACAGATGCCCCACGCCAGGTGAGGAGGCCCCCTCCTGTCCTAGTTTGCTGGAGGTTTTCTTTTGTTTGCAATTTTTTGTTTGTTTATTTTTTTAAGTCGGGAATGTTTTTTTTTTAAGATGGACACAATATCTTTATTTATTTTATTTATTATTTTTTTAGGTGGTGCTGAGGATCAAACCCAGTACCTCACAAGTGTGAGGCAAACGCTCTACCACGGAGCCACAACCCCAGCCCCAGGAATGGATTTTGCCAAATGCTTTTGTTTTTAGTTTTTTGCATCTATTTTGAGATAATCACCTGTTTTTTCCCCCTCTGTTAGGAATTGCATTGATTGCTTTCCAAATGTTAAGCCAACCTTTGTTCCTGAGATGGACTCCATCTGGTCAAGCTGAATTGTCCTCTTAATATATCATTGAATTTGATTTGCTAAAACTGAGACCCTATGTTCATGAGGGTTTGGGTCTGTAGTTGTCTTTCCCTAGAATGTCTTGCCTGATTTTTTGTAGCAGGTGACACCAGCGGAATCCATGTTCCGATTCTGGATTCTGGATCAATACTGAAGGTCGAGCCAACAGGATCTGTTGATGGATGGATGTGGAGGCGGGTGGCGGGGACGGGGGTCAGAGCCTGTTCCAGCCCTGTGGAGTCGGCTGCCTTTGTTGCTCGCTGGGTGCAGTGAGCTGGAGTCGGGAGAGTGTTTTGGTTAGGGGCTTGCACTTAGGGGTCAATGGCATAAAGACACAATTCAGGGCTTTGAACTGGGGGCAGTCGCCACTTGCGCCTTTATCTTAATCTACACTGAGGCATTATTGGCCTTCTGCCATGATGATTGAGTACTGGATCCAGTTCTGTTCCTGCCCCTTCTGAAGGACGCTGTACATAACACCCTGCACGCACGCAGCTGAGCGGGACATGCTGACCGGCTCTGGTGTCTCCTTTGGTTCTCAGTCTTCCTGTAGTTTTGCTGGCTTCCTCCAGTATGTTCTTGGGTTCTTCCAGCTTGGCTTGGACAGGCAAGATCCCTGAAAGGTGGGGAAGGTTGATTTGGGGCTGGGTTGAGAGAGACCTGGGAAGCTGGTAAGGCGTCCTTCCTTCCCCGGCTTCCTCCATGCTTCTGCAGGCACCAGGGTCCCCCTCCTGCTGATCAGGAGCTGTGGGTGGTTTGGCGTTTGAGGAGCATGACTGGTTGCTCCAGGTGCTGGGGCAGAGTGTTTCCAGAGGAGACTGGCACAGGTGGGTTGGGCTGAGAGGGCGAGACCTGCCTTCAGTGTGGGTGGGCGCAGTCCTGTCCACTGAGCCCAGACAGAGCGAAAGGTGGTGGCGGTGAGTTCTCACTCTCTTCCAGAGCAGGGACACCCTCTCTGCCTGCCCATGGGCCTTAGCACTGCACCTCTGCTCTAGACCCCGGGACTCTCCCGTGTCCCAGGCTCCTGGCTTGCAGCCAGGACCGGGAGTTACACCGTGGGCTTCCCTGGTCTTGGGCCTTTGGACCCGGGCTGAGCAGTGGGACTGACCCTGCACTAGATCTCCTAGTACTAGCCCCGCCGCCTCCCTGCTTCTGGGAGTACTATAGTCCCCTCATCCCTGGTTATTTTTAGGCCCTGTCCCTGCAGGCAAGATCCCAGGAGTCCCAGCAGGCAGGTGTCTGCAGCTGCCACCTTGAGGGGTCCTTCCAGGCCAGCTGAGGTGGGGACCAGGTATGTGCAATGATGTAGCTGGTGCTGTCCCCCGACCTCGGTCCCCCGCAGCAGCACAAGGAGGAGGGTACTGGGTGGGTGCGGGGCCAGGCCTTCAGGCATGGGCAGAGATCTCGTGCTCAGCAGAAGACACTCGCACCAGCCTGCGGGTCCCCAGAGAGCATTGCCCCTGTGCAGCCCCGGTGCAGCCTCAGCGCTGCCCCACGGAGCCTGTGGACCTCAGGGCGGCTGATCCTCCCTGCCTTGGGAGCCACTCGCCGACGGGAGGGCCTCCTCCTTCTCCCATCCTACGTCTGCTTGGTTCCAGGAAGTCGGGGAGTGTGACCCCCCAGCCCTTAGTTTGAGTCCTGGAGGGGAGGTGACAGTGAGAGAGGACAGAGGACCCTCTGCAAGGCGGACCTGGCGATCTTGCTGCACAGGGCTGCGGGTGGAGCAGGGAGACGGGGTAAGAGGGACGATAGGGACATGCACAGCCTCGAGGTGGAGCTGGCAGGGCTGTGGGCACTCAGTAGAGGCTGGAAACGCCCTCTCCTCCTCCCTCCGCCTTGTCATTGCTGCCACCATCATTGTCACAGTCACGGTCCTCATCGCCATCACTGTAGGCAGGACCGCGTCCCATTCCTGCGTCTTCCTGCCACTGTCAACTCAGCATCGTCCGGGGCTTGTAGCTCCCACTCCCATGTCCCCGGGTATTGGAAACACAAACCCACCCCTCCCAACCCAACCCGAGTCCCCTCCCTCCTCCCCCAGCCCCCCAAAGCCCCTTGGATGCCCACCCAGAGGCGGCACATTCGGGGGCACCAGTCTCTGTGCTTGCTCGGGACCCAGGGTGGGGGGCACGTTTCTGAGGTCTGTTGGTCCAATGTTGAGGCTGATCTTCGTGAGGCTGGTCACTGGGTTGTGGGCAGTGACACCCTGGAGAGACCACGGGTAACAAAACGGGTGTAGCAAGGGTCCTGAGAGGGCACTCTTGCAGGAGGCCCCCTTTGGCCTTGGAGGAAAACCACTGGTAACTCTCAGGGAGACCCAATCAGAAGCCCAAGGAGGGGCCACAGGAGGCCAGAAGTGGGCGGCGGCCAGGGCAGGAGCAAAACAGGCAGCAGTAGCGGGGCTGCCTGGTGAGGACCGGAGAGACCGGAGCCGCGCTTTCTCTTGCCCTGGTCCCGGGCAGCCCTGTTCAGGGACGGAAGGAGGCTTCAGGCCCGTGGCATCTTCTGAGTTTTGTACAAGTGAGTTGTGACTTATCGTAAAATAGAATTTAAATTAAAATGGAAGGAAGGAACCATCCTCAGAAAATTATGCTAACAAGGCCAGGCCAAGGGGCACAAGGGACACAGCGCCGTGGAGTTCGCTGCTCAGAGGAGCCAAATGGGGTCTCAGTGTGACCCAGGCCCCTGCTCCCGCTCACACACTGTGTACCCCTCCAAGACCGTGTGGAGACTTAGTCCCCGGTGCAGCAGTACTGAGAGGTGTGGGCTTCGGGGGGTGACAGAGCCATGAGGCTTCAGCCCTCGTGAGTGAGATTAGCCCCTCAAGAAAGGGCTCCAGGTGAAGGTCGCGTTCCCTGGCCCTCCCACCCTCCTCCACATGAGGACGCAGCAAGGAGGCTCCATCCTGGAAGCAGGAAGCAGCTCTGGCCGGACATCAGTGCCAGCGACCTGTCTTGGACTTCCTGGTCTCCAGAACTGTAAGAACTAAACTTCTCTTCATTCTGATTCACTCAGCCTCAGGCATTTTGTTATAGCAGAACAAACAAATCCTCAAGAGACCTCTGAAAGCAGGGTCTCAAAGAGATGTTTCTATGCCCACGTTCTTAGCAGGGCTTTTCACAATAGCTAAAAGGTGAGAGCAGCCCAAGGCCCATTGACAGGTGAGTAGATGGTCAAGATACGGCCCCTCCGTACAACGGGATATGATTCAGCCCAACACCTGCCATGGCCAGCAGGCACAAAGGACAAGAGTGAGTTTTCCCTCATCTGTGGAGTCTCTTGAGCAGACAGGAAGTGGAATGGGCGGCCAGGGACTGGGGAGGAGGAAGGAGGGGCTGCTGGTTCATGGGGGTTCCAGTTTTGGAAGATGAAGAGAGCTCTGGAGATGGACGGCGGCGACCTTCGCACATGGGCATGTAAGGTCACCAACTGTGCACTTAAACTTGATCAAGATGGTAACTTACCATGTCTGTCTTACCACCGGGAAATAAATTGAAAAAAATTGATTTCAAGATGGAGCCAGGTCTGGTGGCACACACCTGTGATCCCCATGACTCAGGAGGCCAAGGCAGAGGAGGGCAAGTTTAAGACTAGCCTCAGCAAGTTCACGAGACCCTGTCTCAAAATAAAGGTGAGAAAGGGCTGGGGAGGGAGCTCAGGGCAGCGGTGGAGCACCCTGGGTTCCATCCCTGCTACCAAACAAAAGAAGCCACTTCACAGCACAGCAGGAAGGGGCACGTGCAGAAAGGGGGTCAGAAAGTGAAACGTGGAATGACCTAAGGCCCAGGGTCCCCACCCCAGACACCCCCCCCCCAGCACTGAGAACAGGAGTCCAAGGGCGCCCGGCCACACCAAATGCGGAGAGAATCCCGTGCCATCCGTTCGATTGGCAACCTTGGTCCCGCTGTCAGAAGGAATGATGCCTGACACCGGCTACCACAGGTGGGACTGACACAGGGTGAAAGAGAGCCCGTCCCAAGGCTGCGTCTCACGTGGTTCTGCTCACACAAATCATATCCAGAACAAGTAAATCCAGGGAGACGGGGCGGTTGCTGAGGTCTGGGGAGGGACCGAGGATGGCTCTGAGTGGCATGGGGTCTCTTTCTGGGTGTTGGAACATTCTAGAACTGGAGAGAGGCAGCTTCCAACACCAGGGAGGGGTGACTAAGAACAGCGTCTCCTTCACTTTCAAATGATGAATCGTTACTTGAATTTACTTCACTGAAAAGGGGGAGTTGAGTGTATTTAAATTTGTTCAAGGGGCACAGGCATTTCTTTATCTGCCACTTGACACTGTCACTTGACCACATTTCTTACTGAATTATTGAATTCTGAAAAATTGATTTGTGGGCTGGGGCTATAGCTCAGTGGGTAGAGTGCTTGCCTTGTATGTACAAGGCCCTGGGTTCGATCCCCAGCACCAAAAAAAAAAAAATGATTTGTCATCTTTTTTTTTTCCCAATCTCCTTTGTAATGAATTGCACATCGTTTCTCAATTTCCAATATTTTCTGAGTTTGGCTATGAAGATTTAAAAATGATAACTGTAGCCAAATCCAGTTGTTTTTTATGGCATCTGGTTTGGAAATAAAATTTACAATCATTAAAAACTTTCTCTGCACTCTCGTAGCACCCGTCAGCTTTACCTGGGATTTATCCCGTGTCAGGTATGAGGTTCAGGTTCAACTTCACCTTTAGTCTGGACGGATCCTGGGTTGCCCTACCACCATTCAATCTCCATTTTTGCTGGGTGTGGTGGTGTGCACCTGTAATCCCAGATACTCAGGAGGCTGAGACAGGAGGATTGCAAGGTAGAGGCCAGCCCAGGCAACTTAGCAGGACTCTGTCTTAAAAAAAAAAAGCTTGGGGGGAGCAGTGTAGAGCACTTGCCTAGCGTGTGCAAGACCGGGCCCCTCAGAGATGAGCTCCTGGGGTCAGATTCCGAGACTCAGCATCAGGGCTGTGGGTTCTTATTGTGGTGCCTTCTCAGCGCCTCTGTTGGGACTGGGGGGAGTGAAAGCAGAGGCT